TCAGACAACATTCTGAGACCTTGGACATCCTTCACAGCACTAACTTTATTATTTTATGCTAGTCTACTTTTATTGTGGATTCAGTTTCAAACAGCTTGTATGCTTAAGGCAGAACTAAACTACAACCTCTATTTATAGTCATTTATTGTACACATATTTATTTACTTATTTAGTCAGTTGTGGGGCTTGAACTCTGGGCCTGGGTTCTGTCCTTAAGCTCTCTTTGCTCAAGCCTAGTGCTCTTCCACTTTGAGCCACAGCACCACTTCTGGTTTTCTGGTGGTTAACTGGAGAACTAATTCAGCAATGATACTCACTAGATACTATGTTGGAAATGAACTATACAACTTGGGGTGTGGGGGTTGGGACAGGAAAAACTGGGAGATAATGAGGGAGTGACAGTGTTCCAAAAGTACTCATTACCTAACGTATGTAACTCCTCTGTATATCACCTTTACAATAAAAAAAATCCAGTTTAAAAAGACTCTCAGGGCTTTCCTGGCTGTGCTAGCTTTGAACTGTGATCTTCAGATCTCAGCCTTCTGAGTGAGGAGTGAGCCACCAGTACATGGCTTGCACATATATTTTAGAGTATTGACTATGTGCTAGCAGTTTTCTAGTTACTGAGGATGTAATAGCATACAAAAGGGAACAAATGTCAGCCTTTTATTGTAATGGAGCCAAGAGAAGAATGTCAACATGTAATGTATGTCACAGGATAGACAGTGATAATTGTGAGAGTTGAATTGTGCAGACAATGATGCAAACTTTTTTGTTCCATAGAGGTACAGAGGATGCATGTTGTGTAAGAAATTACAATTCAATTAGTTAAATTGTCACATATAGTATCATCTGGTTTTATGTAGTTTTTCATAATCTTATCCCAATATTTTTTCTTTCCGTGACTATAAATACATGTCTTACGCTCCATTAAATTGGCTTTATCATTCTATTGACTCTCTTATTCACAAGCTTTTTGCCTCTTTATGTATGTACTATGTGAGCCATGTTTATCTTTTCATAGTTACACATGGTGTGGCAGCACACACCTGTAACCAGGAGGCACTTGGAAAGAGGAAGCACCATATTCATGAGTTTGAGGCCAAGTTGGACTGTATGTAAATCCCAGGCCACTCTAGGCTACAAAGAAAGACTCTGGTCTCTGCCACTCCCCTCAAATTGACTATTGACATATAGAATACAGCTGATATGCTCCTGATTTGTTATATATTTCTTTAATGGGCAAAAATATTAAGTATGGATTAAAACAAGACATTTGATATAAAATCCTGTGGATGAATTTTTCCGCATTCTAAATTGATACACTAAAAGGCATTAAAAATAAAAATTATGGGAGTCTTTAAGTCCAATTTCCTGCATAGGGACAGGAAAAGATTTTCTCTCTTTTTCTTTTTTTTCTCTCTCTACTTTAATCCTATTATACTAAAATAAATTCTTGCTAAAAGAAAAAAAAGAAAATTAAATATGTCTGTAAATGTAGCTTCTCAGTGATAGAGTACTTGTCTTGTTTGTACACTGCCTAGTTTATGCTGGGTTTCTAAGTCTAGCACACAGAAAAAGATTATGAAGGCCATAAAGTTAAAGATGATAAAAATCTGGAGCTTTTCTTTTCTCTCTCTCTCTTTCTTTCCTTCCTTCCCTTCCTCCATCCCTCCCTTCTTTTTTGCCAGTCCTGAGGCTTGAACTCAGGGCGTGGGCACTGTCCCTGACCTTCTTTTGTTCAAGGCTAGCACTCTACCACTTGAGCCACAGTATCACTTCTGGCTTTTTCTGTTTATGTGGCACTGAGGAATCGAACCCAGGGCTTCATGTATGCTAGGCAAGCACTGAGCCAATACATTCCCAGCCCTAGGCTCATGTTTTTAAATACTCTAATAAGTAAATACTTAATTGGAAACAATATTTTGTAATATACTCTCAATAAAATGGTATTTGTCTTTTGACAAAACTTTCAATGTGTTGACAAAAATTCAAGTTTTGAATCTGTAAAGCAAAGACTCAGAGCCTGCATCATAGTAAATGAACTTTCTGAGGGAAGTTCATCCTTTAACTCCCCTCTTCCTCCTTCTTATTCTCGCCTCCCCAAAAAAAAATCCAAACTAAGTTCTGTGGCTACTGAAGTAAAACAGATCCAATAATATAGATTATAGATTTCTACGTGTATATCTGGCGATGTTAAGCTGTTCCTGTGCAGCAGAGTACTTGGACAGCTGAATTTAACTAGGGTTTTAACTTGGATAGACGAAAATAATAGAGGAAAGAGATAGAAGTGCAAAAGTCAAACATTTATAAGAGTGCCTACAAAGTTGGATCATGGATTTTAACTTGTTTTTTTTTTTTCTTTGAGACAGGGTCATAACTATGCTGCCTAGATAATCCTTCAGTTTACAATTTACCAAGTAGCTGAGGCTGTCTTTGAATCTGAAGCTCTCCTGTACCATCTTTGTGAGAACTTGGATTACAGATGTGAGACTCCATGCCTCCTGATTTTTTAAACTGGCATTTGATGTAAATAAAAAGATGTAAAGAAATGACTGCTACAAAGTAAGAAGGACCAATGGATTAGAGGCCTTGGGGAGGGTATAAATTAGTGATGGTTTTTGTGATGTTAATTTAAGAGAAATAAATGGATAGGGATTCGTGGTCACATAGGGTAAGAAGAACTATATGTGTAGGATTAGTGAAAGGGATTCTTATATGATTATGTTTTAACCACTGCTTAGTTTTTGGAATAATCAAGTTTTCAAGTGCATTATTCCAGTTATGAAGTTATTATAAATTGCAGAGAAGTACAATGTTTTTTGAACAAACTATATAGGTGAGCAGTAGGTATGAGCTCCTTTTAATAGTCAAAAAGATTCTACATAAGAACTCTAGAAGAAGGAAATGGCATATACTATTAATTAGTAGGTTTTTTTTTTTTTATCGGTCGTAGGGCTTGAACTCTGGGCTTGGGCGCTGTCCCTCAGCTCTTCAGCTCAAGGCGAGCGCTCTACCACTTGAGCCACAACACCACTTCCGGTTTTCTAGCGGTTTATTGGAGATAAGAGTCTCACCAACTTTCCTGCCCGGGCTGGCTTTGAACTGCGATCCTCAGATCTCAGACTCCTGAGTAGCTAGGATTACAGGTGTGAGCCACCAGTGCCTGGCTTAAAATAAACCTTGATCCAGGCCAATGCCTGTAATCTTACCTACTCAGGAGGATGAGATTAGAAGATTTGGTTAAGCTAGCCCAGGCAGGAAATTCTGTGAGGCTCTTGACTCTAATTAACCTGGAAGTCAAGTTGTGGCTCAAGTGGTAGAGTTCTAGCCTTCAGCAAGAAAGCTCAGGGACAGTGCCTAGGCCCCCAGTTCAAGCCTCAGAACCAGCACACAGATACACACACACACACACACACACACACACACACATTTTGAAAAACAAACACAAAAAGTCACTTTAATTGAGAGGGGATATTTCTCATATTGCTTAAAAGAAAGTCCTTGGAGTATAGAAAGATGGAAATATGTGCTTTGTAAGTAATTGCCAATAGTGATTAATAATGTATTAGTTGTGTTACACTGTTCTGTTCTGCTATACTATAGAGACAAACAGTAAAAACAAAATCTATTTGGGAAGAAATATTTATTATATAATTTTCCACACTTTACTAAAATATTTTCACATTCATCAACTCATTTGAAAATATTAACTTGAAAATATAGCTATTCAAAGTTCTGTAAGTACTTTTTAATAAACTTTCCATTCATTGCTTGGCAGACTATTTAAGCATTATTAAACGTTTCTTCTTTTTCTGCTTCTTTTTTCCCCCCAGCCCAGTGTTCAAATTGAGCTTCTAAGCTTGTAAACAGTGGCAGAATGGTAGGATTTAGGAGCTTTGATTTTCAAGCTTCAGTAATGACATTGACCCCGAGGTCAGTTCCAAGTCCACGCCCGGTTTCAGCATAGTATTTATCTATGACCTTTTCTCTTAATCTGTAAATCACAGGCATAAATGATGATTTATTTCATGTAACTCTTCAGAATAGGATTTAAAAATTCCTTAAAAGAGCCTAAGCATGGCTTTTAGAAGGTGCTGAAACTGGTTATGAAGAGAATGAGACTGATCCAAGTACACTGCCTATGGACCTGTGAACATGTCACCCCGTGTGCTGATGCTAAAAACATGCTCAAATAATTCTTCACACATAAAAGGCACTCCATGTTAACATTATCAGTCCATTAAGTACTGCTATGATCCAAGAAAGGCAGCGCCCAACTTTTCTTGCCAAGTGCAGTTGCAGCTTCTCATCCCTTTAAATTACTTTTTTTGTCGGCAGTGGGGCTTGATCCCAGGGCCTAGGTGACGTCCCCGGGTTTTCGGAGGCCCAGGTCCACTTCCACTTTTTTGGATAGGCAGAGGGAAGCCCCAACAGACCTCTGAAGCAGGTCTGCTTCTCTCCCGTCTGCGGGAACCCAGGGGCCGAGCACCCAAGTCAGCAGGAGGATCCGGCTCAGGATGGCGTCTCGCGTCCAGAGCCAGGAGTAAACAAGGGACGGGACGCACTGACACATTTCACAGAAGGGCCAACCACTGTACCTCGCGGGTGTCTCCTCCTTCCGCCCTGGGCAGGGACATCCCCAGGTCGGGCTCCAGGAGTCTCGCTCAGCCCGTCAGCGGGGATGGCCCAGACAGTGCGCGCGCGCGGCCCTCTGACGGAGCCCCAGCGTGCGCTTCGCTGTCCTCGAGTCCTCCGGCCTGCCGGAAGAAGCAGCGGCGCCAGCGTCCGGCCGCTTGTCCGTCACGCAGCCGCCCACTCTCCCGCTGCTTCTGATTGGTCGCAGGCCGTGGCCAGCCCCCTATCAGGCCTACCCACCCCGGACGGACAGGCCGGGGAGGGCGGGGCGGTAGTGGCTCCGCCCCTCCCCACAGCCTCAGTTCGGGTCCGCCCAGCTGTCAGTTACGGGGGCGGCCCGGCGGGCGGGCGGGCGCTCGCAGGCTACCTCGTCGCTCGCACGCTCTCGCTCCCTCTCGCCGCCTGTGGGGAAGTCCGGGCCGCCACAGCGGCCGCCGCCACCGCCTCCGTCCCGTCCTCCTCCCTCGCCTCCCCCTCTCGGCCCTCGCGACCCCGGAGTCTCGAGTCGCTCCGGGAAGGGTCCGGAGAGTCACCGCGGCGGCGCCGAGTGCGGGGTAAACCATGTTGAGGCGGATTTTGCAGAGGGTAAGAGAGGGAAACCATCTTCCGGCAGCACGTGAGCGGGGCGGGCCGGAGTCGGCGGGCCGCGGACCGGGTGTCGAGGCGGCAGCGCGGGCCGCCTTCCTTCCCTAGGCCCCG